AGGGGGGGAAGGAAAATGAGGAGCTGATTCCAGGAGCCCAAGCGGAAAACGAGTTTTGAGAATGATGAGGGCAACGAATGTCTAAGTGTGCGTTACACAATTGATGTATGTATGGATTGTGATAAGAGTGGTATGAGCCCCAATAAAATGATTAAAAAAATTAATTCAACAAACATTTGATAATCAGTTCTGGGTCAGGTATCCTGCTGGGAGGGAGGGCTACTGCGGGAAAAGGTGAGGTCTGTGCTCTCAGGTAACTCACAGTCCAGAAGGCTGAAAGTGGTGGGCGTGGTGGGAGTCCTTACCTAGCTTAATGTCACAGAGCAGAGGAATGAAGACTTAACGTTTGTCTGTCCCCAGCGTCCGCATTGGGAGGGACTTGTCCCATGTTGCTTGAAAGCCTTGCAATCAAAGATAATATGTGACGGTACTATGACTAGATTGGACTCGCCCTTTAAAGGATCTTACTTTCTCAAGAAGTCCAAAGAAATTACTTACATCGTTGTAGAAAATGTGTTTCTTCGAGTACAGGTTAAGAGCTGAAAACGCAGGGAATCCAGGACAGATCATCCCCTCAGGACCAAGAATGAGAGTAGCTATACCAGGAGGAGAAGGGGAAGGTGAGGGGAGATAGCGGGAACCGATCACAATGATCTACGTATAATCCCCTCCATGGGAGACAGACAACAGAAAAGTGGGTGAAGGGAGACATCAGTCAGTGTAAGACATGAAATATAATAATTTATAAATTATCAAGGGTTTGTGAGGGAGGGAGGGGGAAAATGAGGAGCTGATACCAAGGGCTAAAGCAGAAAGCAAATATTTTGAGAATGATGGTGGCAACAAATGTACAAATGTGCTTGACACAATGGATGGATGGATGGATTTTGATGAGAGTTTTACGAGCCCCAATAAAATGATTTAAAAAAAGTTTTGAAAGGCAAAAATGTCACTTGGATGACTAAGCTGAATTTGGCATAAGCCTCCTGGCCTTTTCAGTCGCCTCAGATGCATATAAGAGCAGAACCATGAAAAGACGACTCGCTGCATCCAAATTACGGTGTTAGTGAAGAATACCGAGCGCACTGTGGACTGCCAGAAGGACAGACAGACCAGACTTCAAAGAGCATCATGTTTGGTAGAGGGTCAGCAAGAATGAGGGAAGTCCTCGGTGAGATGAATGGACACACTAGGCGCAACAGCAGACTTAAATATACCAGTGATCGTGACGTGGAATGTTCCAGTCTGTCATGCAAAAGGAGCTGCCTCAATGACAACTAACAGCAACATACATAAGGAACGGGGACTGTTGGAGGGGCAGGGAATGATTTACTGTGGCTCTTCTAGCCAAATCCTCTAATGCCTACCAAAGGACCCTTTCCGGCGGAGCTCTCATAAGAAAGTGGGGGGAGGATACGGAGAAGATTCACTTGTAATTGTAAACATCCCCGGAATGTCATCCTGCGGCAGATGAAATTAGTCCTCTGAGCGGTAGGAGAAAGGATTTCCTTACCAGCAAGAACCAGGAGTGGACCGTGTCCACTGCCCCTGGGATCCTGTGTAATGAGCCTCCTGGATCCAGGAGCTAACTTTGACATCAGAGGAGCAGCGGCAGTCCGAAGCCAGAACAGGAGGCAGAGTGGGGAACGTCCTGTGCGCAGAGCAAGGGAGCTGAGTGCTTTCCAGCAGGAGGCTGGCTTGTGGAGTGGGGACCCTTCGGATACTGAACTGGGGAAGCTGGGCTTGCTGGCCCATGGAAGTGAAGTTGAGTGCCTTCAGGCTGAGGCTTATTGGAGTGGGGGGTCTCTGGGCACTTGATGCAGAGCTGGGTTTGCTGAGTCGTGGAGTTTGAGCTGAATGTCTTCCAGTTGAGGCTTACAGCAGAGAGGCATGCCCTTTTGAGCGTATTATTAGCAGGCTTGAGAGAACTCTAACCTATGCTGATGAATAACTGTATCCTGAGCATTTCTCATTTGCATTACAGCCTGTTAATTTCCTTAATAAACCCTTTAAGCATGAGTATTGTCTCTAAGTTCTTTGTAGCCAGTGTACTGGCTACTGGAACTTAGAGGTAAAATGGGGGAATAGCAGTGAGAATAACACAACTGTTCACTTTCAGAAGACTTTTAAACTTCGCAAAGCAATTATAAAGAACTTCTTGTTAACCAGCTCAATGACCAAATGGAAAAAGTGCCCCTCCACTGATTTTCCAAGGACACCATAATTGTGTGAAAATATGGAAGTACTGTATAGTTTGTCCAGAATGGTCCTGAAGTTTCAGGTAACTCAAAGCCCACGTCTTTGCCCAGAAGCATTTATAATCTAATTAGAGAGCACAACTTCTGGCACAACTTCTGGTCAAAAGCTGGTAGAAAATGTGAATGCTTTAATGAATGATATTATACATTGAGAACTTCAAAAGATGTATGTAAACATGGAATTAAAAGATAGTGAAAATTTTCCACCAATTTTTTTAAGGTCTCTCTTACATAAGGGAGGCAAGAAAACAATTAAGCATTTATTCAACAAACACAAGTTCATGTGGTAAATTACATAGTAGTGACTAGAGGGTTAGCAAACATGATGGAAATTCTCAATGAGATGGATTGACGCACTATGCACAACAGACTTAAATATGCCAGAGATCAGTTAGAACTCATAGTGCCTGAGTGCAGTGAATCACTTAATATGGCACTTCCAGCTATAGCTTTTGCTAGTCCCACCCAGTGATGGCTCACTTGTGAAGGCAGCACCATCAAATAAGGTGTATGGAAACCTAACAAGGGGACTAGTCAGTTTTGCCATCCTACAAGGTTTAAAATGAGCCATCTCACAGGCTGATGGTGGGGGTTGGGGGGTGCTCACCACTACCAACAAGGAGAGACGGGAGGTGAGCACGTCCAGCTACACCCAGGAGACAGAGCTGCAACACCAGAAACAGCACAAGTTTATGAGCTGCGCTGGTAGCAGAAGCAGGAAGCCTGCATAAGACTGCAATAACACAGCAGGATGTCATGTGGGCTTCCAGACCCACAGAGCTAGGTGGTGGTAAGTGGGTGTGTTCATCTGGGTAGACTAGAAAAACAAATCCAGGGAGACACTCATATTGTATAGGAAAGAGCTTTATATACAAGAGCAATTGAATAGTGAGAAAACATCCCAGCCCAGTCCAGATGAAGCCCGTAAGTCCAGTATTAGCCCATATGCCCAATACCAATTTACAAATTCCTCTTCAGACTCATGAAACACATGCAATGATGCCGGACGATCACAGGTCAGTGGGTGGAAAGTCTTGTGCATCCAACGCGGGTGGATTCCACCATGTCAGCACTGGCAGGGGTCTCCACATGGCTCTCCCAGCTCAGGGCACTAGCCTAGCTCCATGTGCCTTGTCAGCTTCAATGTCTCCCAGGGAGTGAGCCAAGAGAGAGTGTCTCCCACCTCCAAGGAGGGATACTGGAGTTCCCAGAAGCCTCAGGAGAAGGCCATGCCCACACAGAGGCCTCATTGGCTATAACCTGATTGACAGGCTAGACTCCACCCCTTCACTCTGAATCCTCAAATTGACACCAGATTATGTAACTACCACAGTGGGTGTGTCAACCCACAGAGCAAGAGAGCTGAGCACCAAGGCTTACCGGCAGAGTGGGGTGCTCTGAGCCACTTACTGTAAAGCTAACGAGCTTTGTAAACCAGGCCAGGGAGAAGCCTGCCTAGAGGGCATGGTTTAGACGACCACCAGAAGAATTGTAACCTGTTATTTCTCTAATAAACTCAGTAATCACAAAGTTTGTCTGTGACTGCTGTGTGGCCATTGCCACAACTTACCGAACGCAGAAAAGAAATAGAAAGTGCCATGGGAGGGACAGCTGGTGTCAGAGTTGGTAAAAGGTGGAGAGGGGAGGTATGTTGGACGTCTGCCTCCGAGCCACCAGCCCTGG